GTTGATCAAGAAGAAATCTACCCAGCTGTCAGTATTTCATGTTTTTCTCTAACTTGATATCAACATATGCAGGTTTAAATTGGCTGAAATAATACACAACATTACAAATTTTAGTGTCCTACATCATCAAGAACCACTTCTAAAACATTCAGAGGTATGAACATGTAATGCAGTGGTAGTGTGTACACTTTTCACACAGGGCAAGCAAGGATGCTCTGATTGACCATGTCCTGCAAAGTGCCCCTGCTAAGCAGGTGGCATTTCTCTGACAAGCAGGCCTTGACAAATGTGAGGAGAAAATTTGAGGCCAACAAGCTGTTGAAGAAGTAAGAAAGAAATGCAGGAATGATCAGCAAAACACATGTCAGACAGAGTCTTCAACACTTACACCTGAAGGTGAGATGGACAATCAGGCCACTTTGCCATTCATTCAGCTGCCTACAGATGCACAGGTCAAAAGCTGCTATTGTAAGTTCTAAAAAGCCACCTCAAATGCAGCCATGGCAACTAGCATATGTGGAGTATGCATGAGGGTACTAGATGTTGCCACAGACAAAGTGGTTCCATACTCTATCAATTCACTCCCAAATACTCATCAATTGGTACCAAGAGTACCACATCTTGTGCATACATTATTCAATGGGAAGTTACTTGAGCTGAAAGGAGTTGGAGGAGAGGGGAGCAATGTTGTTGTGAAGACTTGCAGGGACTGATTTGGAAACTTGAAGAAAACTGTGAATAATCCACCTCAGTATCTGCTAGCAAATAACATGTGGATTGGGAAGATCCTTTGAAAATTACAATTCCTTACAGTTTCAGAGCAATTGCTGATTGCGCTGTTATACCCTTGAGTCTATGTTTTCAAATTGTTCCTAAAGATGATTGATGGAAGGAGGGATGCATCAACGTTACAGCGTGGAATGTGGGGAAATGTGAGTACATATATGAGCTTGATATAGATGGTATTTCATCAATGGTGCAAGGAAATTTGATGCTTCAACCACTGGGATTCCAAGCATTAGTGACATCTGTCACTTTTATTGGCCTTGGAAACCTACCAAATCAGTGGCTATGCACAACATTTCACATCCAATGACAGTTTGTCTTTGGGACATTGTGCTGGTTGAAAGACCATGACCCAAAGTATTACAGTGCTATTGAGATTGACCTGGTTCACATTGAACAACTCCCAAAGGATAATGTCCCAGCAGAGATCTTAGGTGTCATGTGTCAATCTACAGATACAGGGATTGTAGATCAGGATAGTGATAGTTATGTTCCTATGGATGATAGTGGTGAGTCAAGTTTATATCTGAGATGCATGTGTTTTTATTCAGTCTACTTCTAGCTGAGTCTGAGTCGTCTAATGACTCTGGTGCTACCAGCTCTGGTCAGAGTGATGACTGTAAGTTTTAATTCTAGGCTTTCAAATTGCTAGTGGTCACAGAGACCAAGTCTGACATGATCCCATTGCACATATTGGGTACAGTTGACAATTATCTGTCAAAACTTACAGCTAGTGAGATGGGGATTAGCTAATTTATGGAAAGAGGGTGAAGAAGGAGGTTATGCAGTTCAACATGGACACCAAGCTGTCAGTAATTTTGGCAAGCCTAGACACAAAGAGGAGTCCTCAGAAGACAGTGACCAACCTAACTTCTTTGAAATGGCTTACCCATGTCTTTGTCCTTATGGTGTTGGTGGTCTGGAAGCAGATAGACCAGTATCTTTGACTATTTCCTGTGGCCAAAAGTAAAATGATAATCTATTTATTTTCTATAGCATTTTTCAAATAAGGAAAGAGGGTTTTTTGTCCCGTGTCACAGCAGACTGCAGTGGATATAAAATACACACATATGTATTAGCTATTTGTTAGCATATTTAAAATATTTAAATAAATATGCATTGACCACATATGTTACATTTGCTGTCAATACATATTTATTTAAATATTTTAAATATGCTAATGAATAGCTAATACATATGTGTGTATTTTATATCCACCGTGGTCTCCCGTGTGTGTGAGGCTGAAAGGTAGTTGATCAGTTATAGTATCCTGTTCTGGCACCACATCATCAAGAATTACCTTTAAAAGACTCAAAATGCGGGCATGTAACGCAGTGGTAGCGTGTACGCTTTGCATCGGTGGCTATGCTATCACGTTGTATGCGTAAAGTCCAGGGTTCGATCCCCTGCTTGTCCATTAAAATTAAGTGTTGATATCTTTTTGAAAGATTTTCATCTTCCCTTGCTTTATGTTTCCCCCCACGTATCTTGTTCTGGGTCATTGAATTTTCTAGTGCCCTGAGTGATTATGTTCCCCTTGCCAAATTCCATATTTCTCTGATCAAACTTGTGCTATAATACATTTCTGAAGGAGAAAACATGATGTGCCCTTTTAATTGGAGTTGAGAAACCAAGCCATTAATGTTACATAACCTCATTTGAAGGCAAAATTCTTTCACTATCAGTCTGATCTAAAGAATCACACAATGTGATGTTGTAGCATAATTCTGCCACCCATTCTTATTTTGAAGCCTTCTTATAGATATTTCAGGATCAACTGAGTAGGGTTAAGTATGGAAAACTGAAGCAACACAAGAACAATGGTATCATTTATTATTCTGAGATCAGAAACACTCTGAACACTGCAAAGTCAATCTGCGGCCTGAATGCATCCATGGTTATATGCCTCACTCTTCTGTAGGGTCAAACACTTTCAATTTGTCCAAATCCAGAGGTTATAGGCAGAAATTTCAAACTGCTACGGGAGATTGAACTACAAAATGAAACGGCATCTTCTTCGGTCTGCGCGTGACATAATTTTCCAAAAATGTGAGACAATTCGGGTGAATGTGGAAGAACAATGATTTTAAAAATATGTACCACAAGTAGGGCTTGATGAAACTACATGCCCTAAGAACGACAAGTATCCGACAAGTAAAATAAGATTGGGCCAGCATCGTTATACCGTCACAATATTCAGCCACAGCGCCACACAGCACAATTGAGGCCGAAGCTCCCGACATTTTCTTGACATTTTCGATTTTGGTCGACAAGTAAACAACCAGCTTCCGTGGCCTCTCATTTCCCTGACGTCCGCATCAAATAGTTCATTTTATGGGATAATCCGGCAATGGTAAAACCAATGGTTATTACCCATAGCATTCACTAAATGCCTGTGATCGGCCGGCCTTACAAACCTTCCGTTCGTCTTGGTGTTTTGGAATGCTGGGTTAGATGCTATATTCATATAAGCGTGAGCCCGCCCTGCGATCTCGCTCACCACACGGCCACCCATGGTAAATCTATTGCCCGCTCAGCTCGTCCTCTCCGCGTCCAGTCTTTTTGTGAACGCACCATCGGATAGTATCTCGTCCGTCAGCCTAGAGCGGTGGAAGGAGCTCCACCGACAAGTTGGCGGGAGGCTGTATTTGGGTGCACCGTTTGCTAGCCCATGTTTTGCCAACGCAAGCCTGGGGGTCAGCGACCCAGCCTGTAGTGTCGTACAACACGGGTATGTTGATGAGCGTACGTCATTTATCCATATTACGATAACCCGTGTCGACGATGTCCCATGAACATGAACAGTGACACGCTCGAATGCATTTGGAGCGTTTATCAACACCCAGTGGGAGACATGTCAGGCCACTGGAGCTCAATGTCTCCTCGATTATACGAATCCATCTAATTTGGAGCATGTTCTACAGACCAAATGCGAACTTGGTAGCGTTTCAAACTATTATGTGAGTTCCTGTTGGGCCTGGTTCGTATGACATATAAACTGGTCTATTTGTAGATTGACGTGAGGGACCCCGAAGATGTTAGGGCGGCATTCAACTTCTCCAAATCAACGAATGCCACCTTGGTAATAAAGAATACTGGAGTATGTAATCCTTGAATGAGTCCACGACCCTTACCGACAATTTTTAGCACGACTACATGGGCCGCAGCAGCGCCCCGAATTCCATTTCTCTATGGGTGAGTACTGTTCTATCCTATTGTTCAACTTATTGAGTGATTCAATGCAGACTCATAATCTCAAGAATGTATGTAGGGCTCCGTTGTTAGAGCAACTTAAGACGATTTTATATAGATGTCCTACATACCCACCTTTGTCCCCGAGGGCTGTACAGACGTCAGTCCCGCCGTAACCGTTGGGGTTTGTTGCTGCCAACCTACAAGCTTATCGCTGCTAACGATTTACACCCACAGGCGGGTGTACAATGGGGAGAAGCATACGCGTTTGCGGAGTCCCAGAATATAACCCTTGTTGGAGGTGTGTGTGTGTGGAGGGGGGTGTAGGAAGACTTATAGCTAATTTGCATTAGGAAGCGACAAGTCTGTGGGAGTCTCTGGCGGCTGGCTCCAGGTAGTTGTGGTTGCACCAAATTCTTGAGTCATGGTTGAACAAGAATATATCTCAAGGGCGGCGGTCACAGCATCTTATCAAATACTATGGGATTGGGAGTCGATCGAGTGGTTCGCGGCTGCCTTTAACCCTTTATTCTTCTTCTCATGCAATTCCATAGCTTCAGTTCAAAATTGTGACTCCTGATGGGCATTACAGGACTGTCAATAAGTGCCAGCATAGAGATCTTTTCTTTGCCCTTCGCGGCGGTAAGTCTCTTCCTGCATTTGCCGAACTATTACTGACCAATTGTCGCAGGCGGGGGCGGAACATTTGGTGTTGTCCTCGAAAGCACAATCCTCGCTTCCCCTCAAGTGACACTGCAAGTCGTCGTGGTATCATTCAGCCTTAATCCAGTGCTGACAGAGAGACTCTGGACCATTCTCGTCGATAACGGCATTAAATGGGCTAATGATGGCTGGGGCGGTCTAGCAAACTCTAGAACCGCCATCTATATTACACCCACGCTGAGCAAGGACGACGCGGCATCATCCATGACCCCTTTAATCCAATTTGGACAGGAGTTGGTTGACACCCAAGTGGAGGGAGCCCAGCTACGAGTGATCGCGTTCCCGAGCTTCGGGACGTTCTTCAACTTCCTTGTTAACTCTGAAGTCGCTGTTGGTACCCTCTTGAGGTTGCTGTGAGACAAGATGTGCTGATTTATATTCCACAGGCGGTAGGAAGCAGCCTTGCACTCGCCTCACGCCTCATTCCGCGGAACTTGTTTGCTAATTCAATATCCCGTTCCACCCTCGTTTCTGCGCTCACGGCCGCAAATAAAATGTCTCCAAGCCTTATCATCCTCATCACTCCACCTTCGTCTTTCCCAGGAGATGGCATGACGAGTGTCACAGACGCATGGAGAACGTCGATATTTCATATCACAGTCGTAAATCAGTGGAACTGGAATGCGACTAAGGCGGACAAGAAGCGTCAATATACCCTAGCTAGCAGTGCGATTGATCAGTTGAGGAAAATCACGCCTGATGCTGCGTATGTTGTGAGTACCAAGGATATTTGTGTTCCAGGAGGATGTATTTACGATATTCTGCATCTAGAACGAAGCGGACGTCTATGAACCAAACCATGAAAGTAAGTAATTTCTTCGGTGGGATAATATATGGCGTTTTCATTAACATGCGTTTTTATCAGTGTCGTTCTGGGGTAAACATTACGCACGACTACTGCGGATTAAACGGAAGTAGTTCGTATCGACATTCTGACATCTCCGCTGTCCATTCTTATTTTGTTCTGTTACAGCGATCCGGAACATCTTCTGGACTGTTGGCACTGTGGTGAGTATCTCGAAATTTAAAGGCACGGATTGTAGCTCACCACTGAATTGGGGTTTGTCATAGTGGGATCGAATCCAAAGTCTTCTCGATTTGCGTGTTATTTGTAAAGCATGATTGTATATTAGTGTGTTAGGTCCGATTGCAGTTTCCCCATCGTCCTGATGAATTTTATTTCTTTGCGAGGACTCTGTCTTTTAAATTTTATCGTTTGATATCAATGAATCTCACCAACAGCTGGGGACATCATTTGTAATAAAATGTAGACAGACGGCCACGAGTCTAATATTCTACGGGCCGCCGGAGTTTAAGACCAAACATACGACGGTAATACGACATGAAGCATCTCCCTGTAGCAGCTTAAGGCAATTGATGTTGAACTTCCATCCGACCGAATGGCAGATCTAGACGTAATACTTGGCCTGTCAGTAGCTTAGATCTGAGCTAAGTACTTAACCCCCGTACAAATGGTTACAGAAATTAACTTATGCTGAATTATACCAAGGCGATAGTAATCGAAGGCAAAGCGAAGATTACAGCTGTAACTGGCACGCCACGATACAAGTGTACTGTACCATTTCGACCGTAGGTTCACAGGGTGTGACCTGTGACAGTCGTGAACACTATTGGTCCAAGTTCACGGGCGAAAATTAGTGTGACGGAACGCAAAATAGGCTCAGTTTTGTCCTCAAAATGGCCTCAAAGGTACCGAAAATACAGTATCCTGGTTTGAAATGAAGTTCACAGCCGGCTGTGACCCGCTACGAAATACTGCGGATGTTCAGTTCACGATCGCCTGTGACATGTGACTGAACCTACGGTCGAAATGGTACAGTATACTAGAACTTCACATGTGGCTGTGCAGAGTAATAAACTTTTTGATGTCGGACCAACTGCAACTTGTTGGCATCGTGTTCGCATGCACGTTAACCCTAAAACTCTCTGGATATACATCGTCTTCCATACAAGCTGGACAGTTCCGTTTGGCGACGCGCAATGACTTATTTATAACGGGCCCAGACACTCTGATATGAAAGCAGCGAATAGATGCGATCACGAAGGCGATACGATATTTTGATGCCTTAATTTTCTGCGACGGGTCTATATATACTGCAATTGTTGCCTCGTCTTCTCGTCCGGCGACCACTCTGCGAGCTCCCTATCATTCTTTTTTTAATTATCTCATTTTCTAGGTTCAACTGCGCCGGACGCTTCCTTCAATTCATCAATGTATCGGTCAAGCTGCTGTCTTACTTTTCTTCTTCTAGTGCCCACTCTTACTTTTTGTCTGGCTTTACCACATCGTCTGAATCGCCAGGGGATTGCTCAACTCGAAAGATCATCAGGGCGAGCATTTAGTCTTCCGATTCATAGGCGCAGGAAAAGCAATAATGTGGGACGACCGGGTCGGAGAGTCGGAGCCAGTGGTTCTGTGGGAATTGGCGATAATTCTGATTTGTATGCGAGCTACTGCAGTTGCCTAGACAGTGTCTGAGG